ACAAGCTCATACACTCCTTCAACAGCTAAAATATGGCGAGCCCATATCTCCATCAACTTATTAACTATGACAAGCTCATAAGTTACGTTAAGTACGACATACTCTTACATTATATTCAGATTTTATATGGCTAGCCCATATGTTACATTTAGAATTATTATGGCCAGCCCATAAGTGAGCATCGCCACTGCTGCTTACATTAGATCATCGCCTCTACTGCTTACATAAGGATGTCGCCTTACTTTATTCAGTAAGGGTCTCATCTCGCTTTATTTAGCCTCATCACAGGCTTCATTTGCTGCAATATGGCTTGCCCTCTTCAGCAAGGGACTCACCTATCTTTGTTTAGTCTCATCATAGGCTTTAGTTGTTGCAATATGGCTCGTCCTCTTCAGCAAGGGGCTCGCCTCGCTTTATGCAGTCTCATCATATTCTTCATGCTTTAGTATGGCTCGCCCTCTTCAGTAATTATATCACCTCTACATTAGCTTATCACAGCTGCTTATATATTTAGTCTCGTCTCTACATCAGTTTAATCACAGTGGCGACTATTGTGATGCTAGTATCCTTGTATCATTACATTATTTGCTAGCATGCCATGACACTATTTTTGCTACTGCCAGTACGTATGCCACGTTATCTATGTTATCAACATGTTACTTGCTTCACTATAACACTACTATTACACTAAATTGTGCAAGCATATGACCTGTTATGATACATGATAGGCTTTTTTTCATATTATATCTTGGGAGAAATGTGATATGTCATTATTCACTTTATCTTCATGAATAATTTGAGGGGCAAATAGATCCCAATTTATTTTATATATGTGTGGCGGAGATATTATATTGTATTATAGGTTGGTTTAATCCATAATATAGAGGAGATGTTGCCGAAATCTCGATAAATTAAATGTAGTATCTATCTTTCGAGGCAATTCGTAAGTCCTCGCCTGTTTGGGATAATGCATATTTTTTGAGGCGATCTGTAAGACCTCGTCGACTTGACTATTTATACATTAAAGTCCGACCCGCACATAAATGTACGACTCCGACTTGGGGGACTGATGTTACACCCATATATTATGTGACATCGACTGTTTAATGACAATGGGCCTATTGAATCAATTTGGATATTTTTAAGCCTAAACTTGGGTCCGGCCCATTAGGCCCACATATACATTTACCTTTCCTATATATTTGTGACTCATTTCATAATTAGAGGAGGTTCTAATTATTACTTGATCAAACGTGACACCGTTAAATGCCAATGCATCACCAAATGGCATTAATTGTAACGCCAAAGTCATAATAAATTGTTAACAAATCACAAGTTTATCATTTGAGCCCAAATATCTGACAAAAACTAAAGTTGCATTACATTTTCTCATTAAGCGTGTTAATCTCCAATTTCTAACTCTTCGATTTTATGACATGTATAAATAATGATATGGTGACATTAATACTTAATGGTGTCACCAAAGATTAATATTTACTTTTTGATCCAGTGACCATTAGTGTAAAAATTAAAAACTTAAATGATTATTATCGTAGAAATATAACTTCAATAACTATTGAAGTAATTACTTAAAAATTCAATGATCATTGACATAATTAACACTTGAACCAAGCTACACGTATAGGGCCACTTAATAGGGGGGCAGCTGTGATAGGTGGGGGCCCACGTACTGTGCTTGTATCATTTTCCTTAACACTTATGTCATATTTGATACACATTATTTTTTTTCATTCTCATTCTTCTACTCATTTTCAACCACACATTCTTTAATAAAATAATATTTTCCATCACATCAATAACTTTTCCTTCATTTTTAACCACACATTCTCCATCAACTACTATTCAATAATACATTCTTTCAAAAGAATGTGTCACAAACACATTCTCAGGGTGTGTTTTATTGTGAGCATGAAATTTGTGTAGAAAGAAAATAAATTCTAGACAATTCAATTGTCTGAACTTATTTGCATGAAAATTATTAATTAAATGTATTTGATTGATTTACTTTTCAACCTAAAAAATATTATACTTGTCTATTTTTTATTTGTGGATAGATGAGAG